CTTTAGACATGTTTGAATAAATAACATAATCTTGCTTGAATCTCCTTCACATCATCATTTCCCTACAGAATTTTAGAATCTTTCAACTGAAGACCACATCACCTCATAACACAATTCAACTGATATCACTTAATAAATCTGCTGTTTAAACAAATCATCACCTGTCATCAACAAAGTATTTTATACAATGAAATGTAACCATATCTACACTCGGAGCCTTTCATCAGTTCATAGATTTTGGGTTGTCCAATAAAAATTTCAGTCCATCTGGTGCTTTTGTTGGTTGTTCCTTGTCACCAGATGGGCAAAATATTTTTACATCATTCCAACACTTGAAATCTTTTAATTTTTAATTTTTCTTTGGGTTTTTTTTTTTTTTTTTTTGTCACAAAAATATAAAAATCAACCATGGCACATGACAAAAGCCAAAAAGAAGATGACCATTAACAGACAATACTGACCATGTTGACTTCTATTCTCTAAGTTCTTTGCCGAGTCTACAACTGTACATTGCAAATGGAAGCAAAATTATTTACCATGTGAAGTCTGTCATTTGAGCTGTAAAATTATTTTGAATTGAAATATATTGATTTGCAAACCTTGATTTCTAACAAGGGGTAGCCTGCTCTTATGCATCAAGTTTCAGACAATTATCTGAAAACTGAATGTTCCGATTGAAATTATTTTTGATTTTGTAATAAGCAAACAATTCAAGTAATAAATTCTACACAATATCTACTAATCTCTCATTCCAAACTTACCCTGAATTCTTCAGAATGCGAGAAGCAAGAATAATATTCTGCACTTGGGTGGGGATTGGTACAAATTAGTCTATGATGATGACTGATTAATCTTTCAGACTACATATACTTTTAAAACTGATTATCATTGTCATCATCATCCATTTCTTTGTATCACCTATCCTACCAGCATTTTTATCTTTTTTTATGCCCTTTGCCAATGTTCTCTCACTCAAAGGTTCATGCCTGTTTCCCCATTCCTGCTAAGAGTACAGTAAGCAGCCTGCAGTCCCTGCACATGATCAGAGGTAAAGGAAGCAAAGGAAGAGGGAACTGCTGAGAAGCAGTTGATTGAATTTTGGGTGATGTCCTCTTAAAAATGTGCCTAGGAGACTGTGAGCCCACAGAGGAGAAAGATAGGAAAAAAGAAAAGACAGCATGCTTTGCTTTTTAACTCTTTTGTGCTGCACACTCAGCAGCTGCTAAGCTTTGTGGGTCTTTCTATCTTGCTCTGTTTAAACCAGAAGAAATAAATTTATTCTTTTTATTGGTTGATAGAGCAATATGTTTATTCTATGCCTTTGACATATTTTATACATTTCTTTTTTTGATGTGATAAGTGCATAACACACCTATAGAATGAAAAACATAAATTATCTCTGCTCATGTTAAAATTTTAATTTTGTTTAAAATGATAAAAATTTGTTCAAATTGAGTGATTATTTTTGTCCTCTAATTCACAACATTCTGATCGGTATTTTCCCTGATAAAGTTCCATTTATTCTGCAAAGCACCACTTGAATTTTAAATATATATATAAAGATAATGAATAGGAGTTGTGAGTTGCTTGTTTCTGGTAAGGAGTATCTTTATATTACTGTATGCATTTAAGCTGCAAAGTTAGTCATGATTTTTAACATAGGGAAGGAAACAAATCAATTTGATATACTATATTTCCCAGCATTGAAAATTCTTTTTTCCCCCCGAAATAAGTCTCGAAAATATACTCTGTGCCCTAGAGGATGAAGATTGCTTCTTTTTTTTTTATTTTACTAAATTCTAAGTGGATTTTTCAAAATTTCTTTTTTTTTTTTTTTTCAAAATTTTTCAACTTGAAATTGAGGTGCATCCTTTAGGCTGAAGTATCCTTTTAGGCTGGGAAATGCAGTACATTCAGCTGGGTCAGATATTTGAATTATATATATAAATGCCTCCTGTTTAGAGAATATGTTTATAAGCGTGTATACTGTGTTGGTTTGATGTTGTAAGGTCAAAACAGAAAACATGCTTACAGTTTGAATATATAAATACTATTTCAAGGTTTCAACACTTGTGAAAATTGTGAGAATATATTGGTTTATAGAGGTTTGTAAAGCTTCTACTACCAGTGGCAGGATTTCCCAGTTGAGGAGGCACAACATTAAAGTGGAGGAGGATTAAAAGTTTAGTAAGTGGTTAGATTAGTAATCCTCTCACTTTACAGTAAACCATTAAATGAATGAATGATTTTCTTTTGTGAGTTTTTCTTTGTTGTTTTAGCTTTTTCTGCCAAATGATACAGGCAGCCATTTTTGAGTTTGAAGTTTCTCTTTTTAGCAACTGTCTGCTTGGAAATTTTAAAATACTTCTTCAATTATGTGGTCTTAACCAAATATGTCAAGGCATAGAATAATCAGTTAAAATTATATTTCGAGTTAATGAGAGGCAGGATGTTTGCATGCTGCTGGAGTAACTTGTCTTCTTCAGTGGGGCATATTCACCCAGCATTGTGACCCTGGCAGACAATAAGGCACCGGAAAAAAAAGCAAGAATGTCTTTCGATGTTCCTTTTTTTGTGGCTAAACATTTCACTAGCCTCTTTTTGGTTACATCAATTTAGCAAAGGTTAAGATATTGGATGGGAAGGTTGTTGGGGTGGGGGAAGGGAGCAATCTTTGAGAGGAACATTTGGCAAAGAGTTACAAAAAATTACAAGTTCTATTTTTTTTTTTTTTTCATTAGTCATTATTATTTTTTTCTTTTTCATAGAAAAAGTGATCTTTTCTAAAGACTACAAAATAAATACATGCTATTTTCTTTCTCTAATTTTCATCTCCGGTAACTTTCTTACTATTTATATAAGTAGTCACTCAGTGATCAATATACATTTCATGATTATACCCCTGCATAGGGTCTGGGAGATATTGTCATGAAAATCTGAAACAGTTTCCCTACACGTCATGCAACTCTTGTCATTTGATGTTCATTTTCTTTTTATCTTTCTATCTATCCTACTTTCCTTTTACTCCAATAGCTGCATTCACTGAAGTAAGCTCTTCACCATGGGACTTGACCATAGGCACATGAGAAATTAATCTCCCATTTATCATTACTTTTAGTTTTCAAAAATATTCCATTGCTCATACACATCAGACACTGCTGCAAACACTTGCAGTTGTCATGTCCTCTAGTTGTAATAAATTTATTTTTGAATACTTGAAAAATTGCCTTTCACTTTTCTGAGAATTTTCATTTGATCATACAAAATTCTGCAGGATTTTTTACTATATTAAAATATACCACCTGAACATTATAGATTTTATATGTTGCCAAGTGGATAAGCTTTGGAGGGCAGTGACTATGGAAAACTTGCTCCAAATGATTACTTATTGAACTTGAGCCTGTCCAAATGATTACTTATTGAATTTTAACTTGAGCCCACTGTTTTAAACTTCTAATGCTAAATCTGACATCTCTGCCAGAAGAACAAAATTTCTAGTATATATATATATATATATATATATATATACTAGCAATCAAGTTGAAGTTGTCATTATCTGGTTTTACCATTATCAACCTTCTGATATTGAGCACTTTTCATAAAAATTGCTTATGAATATTATTTATTGAATATATTCAATATATATACATACATATATATATATATATATATATATATATATATATATATATATATATATATATATATATATATATATATATATATATTGTGTGTGTGCACTTATCTATTTATCTATCAATGATTACTGTTTTGTCATGGATTAAAATAAGCTAGTGTTTAACTAGCTTAAACTTTTTGTCCTAAATTATAAATGATTCTAATAGCAGTGACAAAACATGTTCTACTCCTGGTTAGTCACTTGTTTTTCTCTTTCACAGACAGATAAATGGTTGTGGTAGAAATTTTTGTATCAACTGGACCATCCTGCCTGAGAGTTGTAAGCATAAAAATAAGTTCAATTTGTGCTTATATGCATATATATCACATACTAATGCTGGCTACTGCTAAGGTAGTGTCCTGACCAATAATAATATTGGAGTCTTTTTCTTTCTATGGACAATAACCATAGCCTGCTACAGCCTACATCTTAGCCTCATAATCACAATAAAATGGCATTGCCACCTACAAGAATTTAAAAAGGCTCACTTCTAAAGTTTACCATCAGCCAAAGATAAAGGGAATTAAAATATCATTGGGGAGGAAAAAAGAAAATTATTATTATTAAAATGTAAGAAATATTTCTGTAATAAGACCTTCACTATTTTTGTTCTACATCTGGTCTTTACTAATGTTAATAACTACTTGCCTATTGTTTTACTTGTGTGACTTGTCAGATTGAAAGTTTAGATTTTCTATGATTTTTACCCAACAATTTGCATTAAGAAAGGACCCAAATTCTCCAATGCTTGTTTTACTAGAAAAAATAAAATTTTTTCCTGAATTTAAAAATGGAAAAGCAATACAGGCCTATTTCCTGCCTCTAAAAACTTTCATTGAATTTCTCATTCTGCTGATTATAATGATACCAGCTTTACTGCAATCATCATCATCATCATCATCATTGTTGTTATTATTATAGTTTTCATAATTACAGAAACCAGCTAGAATCTTTGCTGGTTGTCCCAGCTTAGCCTCGGCCTGCTACCATAACTACTGCTACTATCAGCCTTTTGCTTCTCCTTCTCCTCTCATCAATTCCTGCCTTTCCTGTCACTGCAACCATCCTGGCCATCAAAGACAGTCTTGCAACAATTTCTTGCTGCAAGCTGACTCTGCACATTTTCTTCTGCCCACTGCATCTTTGTGTTACCAGAACTAACATCACATGCACCACTGCCAGCGCACCTGTTGGCCAACTCCAACTGATGCACACTTCCTAGATCAGGTTGGGAAAGAGCAGCCTAATTCAAAATCACTGTTTTGCCAGATGCTCCCAGAGCTTGTTCATGTCTCACGGTCAGAATGGAGTCTAGCAACGCTTATAAAACGGTCACCTTCTCTTTGTTGTCAGAGCTGTCCTCATCATCCATAACATCTGAGATGAAGAGAGGCGCCGACAGAGCAGTGATGTTGGCCTGGTTAATGATGCCTGACACGATACTGAATTGACGGTTTACCTGTTTTTGCCGACGTTCGTGCAGGTAGTTGAGGACACTTAGGCGCAGGGATTTTAGGAGAGAGACCAGAATGTAGATTGCTGGGGTAGTGAATATCACCAAAAATGGAATAATTGAAGCTGGATCAGCCAGTTCACTAGGAAGAGAGAAGCGTAGGGCTGCTACCAAGATTAAGTTATTAAAATTTGATGTCTCCAAAGCAAGAGCTTCCAAAGCAGCTCCCTCTTGGCGAAATATCAAGCCAAGAATACAACCGAGCATCCAACCAGTCATTGGTAGCAAGGCGCAACCTATGAGTATAAAGAGGTCCGTTATGTTCCATATGTACATGTTGATGTAGACACCGAGTGTGATGAACAGGATACTGATTAGTAAGAGCAAAGGTTTTATGAGCCAGTTGAGAAGCGCTTCTGCAACTGCGGGTTTGAAGTAGTTAGTTACAACTCCCCCTACATAGGAGAAAAATGAGGATACCAGCCATACTTCCAGGTGGTAAATTGGAATGGTCTTGGGGGCCTCAAGGTGCAAGTAATATTGTCCAAGTACAAATATCCATAATGGGGCTGTCCCTGCAAAATAACAATAAAAAAAACTCTATTAATTCCTTAAAATTTCAAGAATGAGTTAAATATTGTTTTTCATTGATTTACATTTGTCAGTCTTCATGGTTCACATTTTCATAATGTTTAGATTTATCAAACAGCTTTGTGTTGCCTCAGTTCATCCTTATAAAGCCGACTTTATAAAAGATTCTTTTTATTTTCCAAAATATTTTTCTTACAAGTTTTATTTTGCCTTTTGTGAATATATCTTTCCGTTTGGTCATTGAAGGGATACAGCTTTAGCTTACCATGTACCGTTCTATGTGATTAGCTAAATCCTACCTACAGAGGCTCACAGATTACTATTAAATATGCAGTTTGCAGAATAGTTTTCTTTTACCTAATTTGTTAAGGATTTTCTTTTATTGGAACTGAAAATATTGCTAGTCTATGCTCCCAGGTTAAAGCCCATAACTGTATTTATAAGATTCAACAAAATAATTCCTAATGTTATGTCAAGTATTATTATAACCAATACAAGCCATAAAAATTTCTTTAATTCAATGTCATACATTTCATTAATATGTATGAGAGGATGCTGAAAATTTTTTACAATATTAATATAGCCTGAACAATGTCTTTTTAAAAAAAAAATAATATGGTTACACTCAGGATGTTTTAGCACCTTTTTCACAATAAACTTTGACATTTTGTTTTCATTTTAATAATTATAATTTTATATATATATATATATATATATATATATATATATATATATATATATATATATATATATATATTTAAAATTATTTCTATTAGTAAGAAATTTCAAAGTTTTTATTTTCTTTTAAAAAACATATCAAAGCTCACTTTTTTTAAAAATTGTCTGTTTTACAAGAGTGCAGTAGTTAAATATCACCATTTTATGATATGATCCTATATTAATATTGTGAAGAATTTTTGTTTGTTTTCACAATGCAGAAAAACGTTTTTCTGTATATCAGAGGCATTTTAAAAATTGCATGTCTTCCATTTATCTGTGTGCAATAGATTCAACAAGATTGGTGCCATAAAATTTATTATTAGTTAACCTTTTAAAGCATTTGTTTTGTCAACCAAAATAGATTTTATAGAATGAGTGAATTATACAAAAGTAGCTTATGATAAATTTGGCGTGAGTTGTCTGAGAAAAGAATGTTACAACAAAGGATTTTGGTGATTGTATCAAGAAACTGTACATTTTGATATCATTTGATTGTTACAGTAATATCTAAATGTTTACTAGAGAAGTTACATAAATAACTCACTTGATCATTATTAACTCTAAATTCAAGAAGGCTAAGATAAATATGCATTTAAATACTGACTGACAATATTTTAGCTTTACTTTTTATTGACATCCTTCTTTGTAATTAGAATGCAGACCTTTTTAAAGGATCTGTCTTGTTTCTGTCATCCTTTCACATAAATGTTTAAATTAATTTGAATAAATATTTCTATTTAAGAGGAGCTTCTCCCAACACTATAACACAATGCAAAAAGACTACGATCCATTTTGTATGGTTGGTAGGCATTTTAAAATTATGGATTTGATGATCATTGACTTTATTTTAAATATTAATGTGAAAACTTTAAAGTAATTATATCAGAGAAAAAACAGAAAAATCTTTTTCTTCTGTAAGTAATATTTTTGTGAGCCTCTGTATATTTTGCTAATACTTAACAATTTTGTCATAAAATCATTTATCTGTATTCACTTGTTAATAGATTTGATCAGTGGTTAATTCATTCACCATTTGCTTACATATTTAATAGGCACCTATTTATTCAATGTAAATACCAAGTTACAGTGAAATAATTGCACTTATATATTTATGAATGACACTCAAGTGGAAATGCTAAAATATTAAAAACTTTATCTCAAATGTAGAGCAGTTTAATTACTACTCACCTAAATGACCTTCCTTTTGATTTGCCTATCACATCCTAACCTTTTGCTAATTCTTATTTCTAGATCAATGAAAAGCTTTACTGCCAAAGGTTATGGCCATCACTCCTATAATGCAAGATATTACTACAGCATCATCATTATTATTATTATATCAATAATGTATACCAATTCATACAATAAACAAGCTGTTGTGATATCAGATTTCCTAACAGAAAATTGAAGATAGGAATGTTTCATTTCTATTTATTGTGGATTATACAAAATCACAATAATCTTTGGTATCTTTTTATTTTTTGTTTCAATACAGGAAATATATTTTCTTTATATTTCACAACCCATAAAGATGATTACAAACACCCAAATACTGAAGCATTATGTACTTATGTTCCTTGAAACCTTTTTCAGAATCTTTTTTCTTTTTCTGAGAGAAAGATCATAAATTATACACTAATGATTTGGCTTTTTATTCTATACTCATTCACAAATTTTCTATGTTTTTTTTGTTTTTTTTTCAAAAATACAAAACACATTCATGTTCATATGTAAACAAATCAATAAATTCACAGCTTTCAAAATTGAATTCTGATTTTAAAAGTAAAAAAGAATATAAATTAATTTACCTACAATTTAATGTATCAAATCAAACAAATGTTTTTTGGCTGATGGGATTTTGAAACCAGCAAAATATGCAAGTCTGATGTTGACTCTATAAGATTATTCTTGGAATTTTAAAACACTGTTAATTAAAAAAAATATCTGTGACATCTTTGCAGTAAATCTCAAAATAACTTTAACCAGTTAATCTTTTAATGAACAAATTGAAAATTTTTTTTTTCTTTTGCATTATACCAATGCATTTTTACTTAGGTGACATTTTTTTCTTATCTGCTTAACCCTAAGATTTAATTACTTATTTTTCGTTCTCTTTCCTGAAATACCAAATAACTTCAGTTTTGTACCCTGTAAGTTGATCTCTTTAATTATCTAGAATTTGTCTTCATGAGGTATCCTTTTTTAAAATCTGTCTGCTGAAAGTGTGGAAATTCATAAATTGTCTGATTCTAGTAGAAAATTAAGACCAAAATTAATTCTGATCATTTACTCCATCTCTCTCTCTCTCTCATATTTTAAGTTCCACAAGTCACTCTTCTGCTACCTCTTTGCTTCTAGATATTCATACCAAATCAGGCAATGTGAAATCAATATAAAATTTTAATGATCTCTTTAGTTATAAGGAGGGTGGAGATAGCATACACATACATTATATTATCTCTGGATATATTGTTTCTATTTTTTCAGACACACACACACACACACACATATATATATATATATATATATATATATATATATATATAATGTGCATATGATGATGTAGTAAGAATGGCACATTCAATGTGCCTGAATGTTGAAGCAGCAAATGTATCTTTTAATCATCTCTATCAGTATTCTTCAGGGGAATTTGAAATGTGGTATCTGTTGGTAATGATTGCCATCGCAACATGGACAGATTTTGTGGATAGACTGTGATAACAAATTGTTTTTAATATTTTTTCTGATTTTTCTGCTTTATAAGAAAACATGAAACTTTTTCCTTAGCAAAAAATACCTGCTTTATAAAAATTCTGTTCACTCTTTGAATTGGTTTCAGAATGTTTGCATTCTCTTACTAATAGGAATGAAATATTTTTTGCCAAGTTGAGCTACTGAAAATATAATAGCAATAAGTCATTATCAGATTATAAATATTTTATAGACTTTAAAAATACTTCAGTTGTAACTATATTCTATTCTAAGAACAGACATAGTTTGTATATTATGTGTGTGCATGTGCATTAGTAAGCTTCGTTTAGTCTGGCTCAAGTTGAAGTAGAAAGAAATGGGAACAGAAAGATCATGTTGCATTAACCTTTCAAATGAAGTGAACCTCATTGCCTTAAACCCTGTATTTTATTTTGGTTTTCACTATCAAGAAATGCCTAGCTATTTTGATCAACAAACAGGCTTGAATTATTAACATATATGTATCTAGCTCTCTAACTTGAGCTATAAAGAAACAGTGGTGAAAAGAATTAAGTGATGGTTCATTAGAATCTCTACACAAACATGCTTAGCTATTACTTATTTCATTTTAAAAGAATACTGTCTCCACTTGTAATCAATCATTGAGCTTTCCTTTAGGAATTAGATTTGTATCTGATATTGAACATAATTTGTCTTAGAGGCTGGCAAATGCTCTTAAATTCTAATACATATTTTTGCTATTTATATATAAGTATACCTATCATCAAAAAGGCCTCTTTTTATTTGATCATTTTTTTAACTTGAAACAAAAATATACCTTAAGTACCTGTTAGATAATGATCATAATAAAGGTTATGGATGAATTGAATGCAAGGCTTGTAATCTCTGTCATTTATTGAATACTAAATTAATATAAAAGACATAATATTATATTTCCTGTAAGAGGTGATTGGTTATACAGAGGAATGTTAATATAGATCCTTCTATAAGTAGAAAAATCTGTATTGATTTATGAGAAGGTGCTGAAAAGTTCTTTGTTCAACCCATTCCCAAAATTTGACCAAATAATCAGACATCAAAATTTTAGATATAAAGACTTCTTGGTTGAACAGACCTTTTTAGCACCTCCTCATATTTTTATCAATAAAGTTGTACAGTTCAAAAGTTGCAGATTTATTTCTATACTCAAGTATATTGCTGGGCATTGCATACAGATTTTTTTTCTCTACTTTAAATGACAGTATTTGTTGTGTTATTACGCAAGAGATAGTATGATCATAATGCAATCTGTTAACAGATTATTCTTCCTTAGC